AAAAGACATCAAGGAGGAGATTAAAAAATTCTTAGAGGTAATGAAAACACCAATACAACATATCAAAAATTTTTAAACACTATGAAGTCCATACTAAGAGGAAAGTTTATTGCATGGAGTTCATTCCTTAAAATAAGAAAAAAGTCAACAAATAAGTGACCTGGCATTACATCTCAAAGACTTATAAAAAGAAAAACTAAAAGCAGAATACAGGAAAAAATTAAAATCAGAGCTGAAATTAATAAAATTGAAACAATAGAAACAAAAAAATTGACAAAACAAAAAGTTTGTTCTTTGAAAAAAAAATAAACTGACAAACTCTTAGGCATGCTAACAAAGAGAAGGAGAGAGAAAGCTCAAATCACTAAAATACATGATGAAAGAATAAACATCACAGTAAACAATACAGAAATACAGAAGATGAGTACAAATTATTTTGAAAACTTGTACTCCAATAACATAGAGAATATTGAAGGCATGGACAATTTCTAGAGGCATATTAGTTGCCCATATTGAATCAGGAGGATATGCACAATTTCAACAGATCAATTTCATGTATAAAATAGAAGATGCCATCAGAAGCCTACCAACCAAGAAGAGCCCAGGACCACACAGCTAAATTCTTCTACAAGACCTTTAAAGAAGAATTAATATCAATACTCTTCAATTTATTTCAGGAAATAGAAATAGAGGGAACACTTCCAAACTCATTATATGAGGCAAATATCACCCTGATTTCTAAATCAGGCAAAGACATATAAAAGAAAAAAAAAACTTCAGACCAGTATCTCTAGTGAACATAGATGCAAAAAAATCTCAATAAAATTCTGGCAAATTGAATACAAAAATATATCAAAAAGACAGTGCACCAAAATCAAGTGGGATTCAAAATTTGATCAACATATGGAAACCAATAAATGTAATTTATTACATGAATAGAATTAAAGAAATAAATCATATGAACATCTCAATAGGTGCAGGAAAAGCATTCCACAAAATACAGCACCTCTTCATATTCAAAACATTAGAAAAACTAGGGATAACAGTAATATATTTCAACATTTCTTAACCTATCTATGCTAAGCCCCAGGCAAAAATTATTCTAAATGGAGAAAAGTTGAAAGTATCCTCTCTAAAAATGGGAATAAGACAGGGATGCCCTATTTCACCACTTCTATTTAACATAGTTTTTGAAACACTGGCCAGAGCAATTATAAAGATGAAAGAAATTAAAGGGATACACGTAAGATAAGAAGAACTCAAATTATCATTCTTTGCTGGTGATATGATTCTGTACTTAGAAGACCCAAAAAATTCCACCAGAAAACTTTTAGAATTAGTAACTGAATTCAACAAAGTAGCAGGATATAAAAAAGACACTCATTCAAAAATATTTCTATATATCAGTGACAACTCCTCTGAGTGGAAATTGAGAAAAACTACCCCCTTTATAGTAGCCTCAAATAAAATAAAATACTTGGGAATCAACATAACAAAAGAGATTAAAGAACTTCACAAATAAAACTACAGAATGCTAAAGAAAGAAATTAAAGAAAATCTTAGAAGATGGAAAGATCTACCTTGTTCTTGGATAGGCAGAATTAATATAGTCAAAATGATCATACTACCAAAAGCATTATACAGATTTAATGCAATTCCAATGAAAATCCCAATGACGTTCCTCATAGAAATAGAAAAAGAAGTCATGAAATTGATCTGTAAAAATAAAAGACCCAGAGTAGCTAAAGAAATCCTTAGCTAGAAGAGTGAATCAGGTGGCATTGCTATACAGAACTTAAACTATATTACAGAGCAATACTAACAAAAAACAGTATGGTATTGGCACCAAAATAGACTGGTAAACCAATGGTACAGAATAGAGGACATAGAGACTAACCCACAAAACTACAATTATCTTTTATTAGACAAAGGTGCCAAGAACATGCATTGGAGAAGAGAGCCTCTTCAACAAATGGTGCTGGGAAAACTGGAAATTTATATGCAACAAAATGAAATTAAACCCCTATCTCTCACATGCACAAAACTCAACTAGGAGTGGATCAAGGACCTAGGAATTAAACAAGAGACACTGCATCTAATAGAAGAAAAAGTAGGATCAAATATCCTTAATGTTGGATTAGGCCCCTACTTCCTTAATAAGACTCCTATGGTGCAAGAATTAACATCATGAATCAATAAATGAGATGGATTCAAATTATAATGCTTCTTCTCAGCAAAATAAACTATCAATGAGGTGAATAGAGAGCTCATATCTTGAAACCAAATTTTTACCACTTGCATATCAGATAGAGCACTAATCTCTAGGGTATATAAAGAACTCAAAAAGTTCTAAACACTAAAAAACAAATAGCCCAATCAACAAATGTGCCAAGGAACTGAAAAGACACTTCTCAGAAGAGGATATACAATCAATCAACAAACATATAAAAAAATGTTCAACATTTCTAGTAATTAGAGGAATACAAATAAAAGCTATTCTAATATTTCATCTCATTGCAGTCAGAATGGCAGCTATTAAGAATACAAACAACAATAAGTGTTGGCAAGAATATGGGGGAAAAGGAACACTCATACATTGCTGTTGGGACAGCAAATTGGTGCAGCTGATCTGGAAAGTAGTATGGAGATTCCTTGGAAAACTGGGAATGGAACCACCTTTTTATCCAGCTATCTCACTCCTTGTTCTATACCCAAAGGACTTAAAAACAGCATATTACGGGGACACAGCCACATCAATGCTGATAGCAGCACAATTCACAATAGCTAAATTGTGGAACAAATCTAACCTAAATGTCCTTCAATAGATGAGTGGATAAAGAAAATGTGGTGTATATACACAGTGTAATATTACTCAGCATTACAAGAGAATAAATTCATGGCATTTTTAGGTAAATGATGGTGTTGGAAAATATGCTAAGTGAAGTTAGCCAATCCCCCCCCCCCAAAATGCTCAATGTTTTCTCTGATTTAAGGTGGCTGATTCATAGTAGTATTAGGAGGTGGAGCATGGGAAGATTAGACAAACTCTAAATAGGCCAAAGGGGTGGGAAAGCAAGGAAGAAAGTATAGGGGTAGAAATGAGGGTAGAATGAGATGGACCTTATTACCCTAAGTATATGTATTAAGACATGAATGATGTGAATATACTTTGTATTCAGCCAGAGATGTAAAAAATTTTGCTCTATATGAGTCATATGAATTATAATACAGTCTTCTGTCATTTATAAGAAATTAGAATTTAAAAAATAAAGAAAATGCTTGGCACTGCAAAAAATAAATTTTAACAAGAATATTATTATTATGAAATGCTATATTTTTCAAGGCTATAAGTAAAATTTCCTCAATAGATACAATTCTTGTAATATTTATGATACAATTAGAAAAGCTTTGGAATATTAATTATGGAAATGTTTAACCATGAGTTAAAATTTGGCTGTTGCCAATGGAAGAT